TTAATCAAGATTAGACAAAGCTTTGATATTGTAGGTATACTCTTGTCAATTTGTCAAGGATAAGAACATAATAAAGACAAATAAATAAGTGAGACTTCTTTCAAAGAAAGATGACAAAATAGAAATAACTTCATATATATATATATATATATATATATATATATATATATATATATATTATAAAAGAAACTGGAATGGCTATTGCCAAAATACAAGAAAACTAGAGACCCTTGAAACTAGATTGGAAGCAAAAAAAGAATTGATAAGAGTAAAGAAGGCTTGACCCTTGTCTCCATATATTTTATCTAACTAGGGGCTATGTGGCGACGTTCTATAGGACCTCCAATATGTGTTGACTTTGTAAGACACATGCTTTGACTTACAAGGCAAGTTTTTCTACATGTGGGCCACATTGTTAGCTTGGTCTTCAAGCTAACAACATGTCTGGCACATGGCCAACTTGTTGACCACGTTTCTAATCCAAAAAGTCAATTAAAGACACCTATGAAGTCAAAGCAGCGTCTAGGAAGTTTCTAGAAAGCTTCTATATTAAATATTATAGAATTAACTTACTTTTATCTACTTTTACTTACTTCTACCTATTTATATATATGTAATTACTGGATTACATGAGTATGTCCGTGACAGATAGATTGAAAGATCATAAGAATAATAAGAGATGTATAATGCTTTTTGAGTTTTGTCAATTATTTTCAAATCTTTATCAAAAACTTTGCTCAAGTTGGAATTCTACTAATACATTTGACTTGTAAAGATAAATTTGAGTAGAATTAAAAAGCCAAACCATCATTTTTTGCTTTAAATAAAAAATTTATTTCTATACTAATTTTCTATTTCTTTGATTTTTCTAAGGCATTATTTATAGAAATATATGCATCAAACTTTGCCTTGAGTATAGTATTGTTACAAATAGAAAAAAAATGTCAAATTCTATCTAGTAGCTTTTCATTCCAAGAAATTTTCAGTAGCCAAGATTAACCATGAGATCCATGACAAAGAACTTCTTATAATTGCAGATTCATTTCAAGAATGGCATCATTATCTAGAAGGTACTTCAAAACTAGTCACAACATATATATAGATCACAAGAACCTCAAGTATTTCCTATAGGCACGTATTATGAATTGTTGCCAAGTCTATTAGAGTATGTTTCTATTAAGATTACATATCGACTTAAAAAACAACAAGGTTTATTATATGTTCTTTCTAAATGCTCTTATCTTATATGAAAAGAAAAAAAAGTATCTTTTGTTCTACAAAGAACAATCTTCTTGAAGCTATAGCATTTTCATCTTTGAGTAATGAAATCAACATTGACTGTTGATTCGACCTTTATCAAACAAATTCAATCAAGTAGGTCCTTTGATTCTCTTATTTATGATATTAAGAATCTTTCTTCTAAGTTTCATGGTATTTCAAAGTTTGAGTTCAAGAACAACCTACTCGATTTTGAAGGACTCATATATATTCCAAAAGGAGAAGTATATTTACGTATTTTTCAAGCATGTCACAACTTTCTAGTAGTAGGACATTTTGGATACAACAAGACTTTAGATCTTATATCTAAAGATTTTTGGTGGTAGCAAATATAGAAGGCGGTAGAAAACTTTTTTTAGTCATGTGATGCTTGTTCAAGATTAAAAATTCCTTACTATTGATCCTGTGGACTTCTTCAATCGTTGCCTATATCCAAACAACCATGGTTTTGCTGACAAATTGAATTTAAAAGTTACAAAATTTAGATAAAATCTATTTTTATTTATAATTATCTTTTGCAAAATAAGTTCAACTTAAGGTAACTTGAAGAAATTATTTTTTTAGTATAATTATTTTTAATATTATTATTTATTATTTATATAAATTTTAATATATTTTTTTTGTCCATTTAATTAAATTTATTTTATCTTAAAGTTAAAAATGTTTTACTTTACAAATGACTACCTCTTCTAATAAATATTATATATTTAATTTTTCTATATTTTATTTCTTTTAAAATTATTTTATATGTATTTTATTATATAAAGTTAATTTTTTAAATTTTTAACCTTAATAGATGGAATTTTTATAAATTATGCAAGATTTTATAATTTAAGTGAGATTATCCAATTTTATAGTTTTTAGGTCATTTGGATAATAAAAGAGTATGTAAGCAATGAACATATTTTTTTTTACCAACTTTCAAGAATCGGATATTCTGATTGGTAATGAAATTGTCTTCTTCTTGTTAGTACATTTTGTAGATTTTAATATCCAAATCACCATTCTTGGATATTTAAATTTGTAGAATAATAGATTAACAAAGTTCAATGCTAATGTTTATGAGTTTTTTGCACTAAATGAATTGATTCACATAAGTGTATTCATTGCAACTTGGTAATATTAGCTTTTATATATAAAAAATGCAGCAATGATAAATGGATAGATAAAAATATAATTTGGTTGTCTTACTGAAATTTTGATCAATTTAACAATAATATGCTACATGCTAAAAATGTATCAAAAATGAAATCAACTTAGAGATGCAACATTCTTTGGATTATAAAGTGGTGGACTATTGAGCAGATATAAATTAGTGAGCTAAATTTAAATTTGTGCATTTAGAATTTAAAATTATTGTTTGTGCATTTAGGAGTACAAAGTAGTGTGCATTAATATTGAGCAATTATAAATTAAACATAAATGAGAAAATTTATTTAGTTTAAATTCTAAATGCACAAATAAATAATTTCTATTCTTGATGGAACTACATTCATCTATTTGTTGTAAGAAAAATTAATACCTAAATTATAAAATTACTTGTCTAATTTTTTACTTAAGATATATATATATATATATATATATATATATATATATATATATATAATTTAAAATTTATAATGTTATAAATTTATAACATAGAAACATCTTTTGTTTTAGATAATATTATCAAGTAAGTATAAGTATGAACTAAGGAATATAGACTAAGGAAGTATATTTATCTATATAAATATATATAATTTTTTAATTAATATTTTAAAATATTTAAGTCTTTGCTTAAATGTCAAATTTTTTATTTTTTATTTTTTAATGGAAGTTAGAATTGTATTGTGTATACATTTGAAATATATTTCTATGTCATAGACATATATAATTATCTAAATAAAAGTATCAGGTAAAAAATAAATATATATAGATTTGATAATAAACATGATTGTAATTTATTGATAGATTGAAAATTTGGCCAACAAATTGGCCATGTGTTGCGCATGTTTGTGACTTGTGGTACAACTTGGCCATGTGGCACAGATGTAAGAAACTTATTTTTCAAGTTAGATATATATCTCACAATTTAGACACATATTGGAGATCCTATAGAATGTCACCATGTAGCTTCTAGTTAGATAGTATATAAGGAGGCAAGAGTAAAACCTTCTTTATTCTTGACAATACTTTTTTTTCTTTAGTTTTATTTCAAGAGCCTTTAATTTTCTTGCCTTTGGTAGTAGCCACTCTAGTTTAATATTGTACCATCTTTAAGTGATTATTTAATATTTTTTTAATAATACAAGAGTATAATGATATTTTGATTTTTTGTGATTCATACCCTTGATATTTTATCTTTATTTCAAATATATAAAAAATTATTTAATAATACACAATTTTTTAAAAGTGGTTTCAAATATATTATAAATTTCTATAAAAAATAAGCATATTTTAATTAAATATTATTGTATAAATTAACATAATTTCAACCTTTGAAACGATATGTCAAAAAAAAAAATTAATGAATAAATAGGTAAAAAATAATTTTTAATAATAAAAATTTAATTAAAATTAAAATAAAAGAAAAAAATCATATATACAAGATCAAATTTTATATATCAAAAGATTGAAATTAATGAAGACAACAAGTTTTTTGGAATGGTATATCGATCAAATATCTAACTTGAATTATAAACAATAAAATTGATACTCTAAATTAGAATTTACTTTAAGAAATGATATTCATTCCAAATTGATCTATGGTGTGATACAATTTGTCAAAAAGTATAAAATCACCTTTAATTCATATGCACTAAGAAAGATTCATGAACTACTACATTCATATTTTATTTTGTATATATAGATACAAATGCACTCCTTCTTACGTATCTTCTTAAAATCATGTTATTTTGTTTAAGTATGATTGGATGTCTAAGTTTAATTCATTTATCGTTTGTAGTAATATGTGAGTCATCAAATTGACTCACTTGTTATTTTAGGATAAAAATATACATTTAGAATGCTTTAAATTTGAACTATTTATGGTGTTTCTACGACAAAGTTTTTATTTTATTTTATTTTAATAGTGCCGAAAACATCAATTGGCCATGCCCTTAAAACCAAATTGAGTTATGGACGAGCCATGGAATTGGTCTAGATCTGAGAGAATATGAATCTATGGTCACCTTTGATTTTTTGTGGTGGCCTTCGTAAGAAAGCCAAGAGGTGGGACCAGTGAACATCTGTGATGTGGTGGGCCTGAAAAATTCTTTCCTCGGCCAAACCCTAATTTATACCCACTCTGGCCCTTGTGCACCTCATGAGCTGCCTCCTGATCATCGGGAACGACCGGGAACATTGGGAACCCCACCCACTACCCCCTTCCAGTGGCCAATGAGCCAGAAGCATAGTTCTTAGAAACCGACTGCCACGTGGAGACAAACTCGGGTACGTTATTAGCAATGACCCCAGACAGTCCATACACACAGTCCATATCAGCATTTCCCGGCTTCTTGGGGAGTTTCCCTACAGACAAGAATGGGAGTAGAATGGGAGCAGATTGGGAGATGGCGGGAATTGACGTGGCACATGGATGAAGAGTAAACTGGTGGGCGGTTGACAGTCAACGAATGAAGATTCTTCCTTCCGTCCATTTCTCGTGGTCTTATCACCGTCAATGGAGTACCCATCACCGTGTGTGGAAGCTGTTGCCTCTGCTGGGAGATTTTGCATCAGCATTGCAGATTGTACCTTAAATCAAAGGAGTCGGTCTTGTGGCGGAGCTAGAATCGTTTAGCCTCCCATTAAATTTCCACTGTAATGGAGCGTAGTTCTATTCTTCTGGTGTGGAGTTGACGCACTTGGTGACGCGGCGAATCGTGTGCGAGGCAGGAGTTTTTATTTGTAATAAGAGGGTTTGGGATACTCCCTGTTCATGTATTCGCAGCTGAGCTGGTTACGATTTATGTTCATCTCTCCCGATTCCTCCCTTCTATGTTCTGTTGCAGAATTTTGATTTCGAGCTTTGAAGGTGATTCTCGAAGGGGAGAAGAGAGAGAGAGAGAGAGAGAGAGAGAGAGAGAGAGCGAGCGAGAGAGAGAGCGAGCGAGAGAGAGAGAGAGAGGGATTCCTTGATTTCTGCTTGAGACGGTTGCACAGCACTTGGATAATCTGTTCGCAGATTTGGCGTTCTCTGCTTTTGAGAGGGCTGCGTTGCTCATGGTTGTGACAGTGCAGTAGCCATCATGAGATGGATGCGGTGGATTATTCCTTCTTTCTCACATGCCTTCCGATCGCGCACGAGCTCCACTGCGCCTCTCGTTTTCGGATCCCATGTATGTATGCTCTACTCTAGCTTCGTTGTTTCTCAACCTCGTGCCTGCTTCTTAAATTGCGGCAATTGTTTTGAAGAATTTTAGTGATAATGTCAAAGTCACGGTTGGAATATGCTAATGTGCTGGACTACAATTCCAATTTTGCATTTTTTGCAAGTAAAATGGTGTACCAGTGGAATTGCTAACCTGGCATCGCAATCGTAGTTCGAAGTTTACTTTGAATCTAGAGCCCTGATTGCCGGATGGAGGTTCACGGGATATTCTTAAGATCAGAGAGACTTTACCCAGGAATTGGTATCAAGTCTTGTTCGTGTATTCTTTTGGTGGTTTAGATTGTAGAGCTGTTCTTACAATCCCTGTAGTACACCTAGTCTTTGGTGCTCTGAATGCATCCTGTTACAGTGTCTTTTCCTTTAACTTTAGGATCAGAATGCGTCACGGATTTCGCACCTCAAATGTGCAAGCCATCACCGTCTAATACTATGATCTACATTCTCGAGCAGGACTGTAGCTTCGAAATTGACATATTTACATCAATTTACATTAACTGAGTTTCAATATACGGATTGATATCTCTGAGGAAGAAAAGTGATTTTCGTCATTTTGGAGCTAAGGCAAGACTTAAGATTTGAAGTGGGAAGAATATTTTCGACTTTCATTTTGAGCTTGTAATTCAGGAATTGAGATATTTGGTGTGTTTCTAACTTCGTCTTCTTATTATTAGCAGGTATATTCGGACACATCTGCAGTATTTTATGAGCAAAGGGGTAATTTACCTTACCATGCCTTAGCCCTTGAGAAAGAGCCGCAACTGTCAGAAGATGAGCGTCAAGATAATGCTGTAGATTTTCTCCTTGATGATAAGTTGCGCACAGAGTCGTTAAGGAAAAATCGCCGCTTCGAAGAGGGTATTCTGGCCCCATCTTCACCCGTTTTTGCCAGTTCTTTACTCATTTCTCTAGGATTTCACTTTGTTTTGCTTACCTTGATAGATAATATTTTGCATACCAGCAGTCTGAAGTTATGGCTGGGATTTGACTTGCTGCAGACTACTAAGTGGTGCTGACATTAATGTGTTGTTCTTTCTCCAGTTTCGGCTGTGAGGTCGTTGGCTGTTGAAGCAGAATCGTACGTTCGGAGGGGAAATGCTGAAGAAAGAGATCGAGTATCAGACATGCTGATTGATTCTCATGGAAGGAGACATAATTATCTGAGAATATCACTGACTGAGCGCTGCAATCTTCGTTGCAATTACTGCATGCCTGCGAAAGGTGTTGAGCTGACACCTAACTCTGAGCTTCTTTCTCAGAAAGAGATCGTCCGAATTGCTGGTACTTTTGTTGCTGGTGGAGTTGATAAGATTCGGCTTACAGGCGGGGAGCCAAGTATCAGGTCAGATATCGAGGAGATATGTGAGCAGTTGAGTAGTCTCCCAGGTCTCAAACACTTAGCTATGACTTCGAACGGCATCGTTTTGTCTCGTAAACTCCCCCGATTACAAGCGGCTGGGTTGAATCAGCTAAATATTAGTTTAGATACATTGGTGCCAGCAAAGTTTGAGCTCCTCACCAGACGGAAAGGTCATAATAAAGTCCTTCAGTCCATTGACACAGCATTGGGATTGGGATTGTCTCCGGTGAAGGTGAGACGCCTTTCTTATGTGAACTTTGTTATTTTGTGTGAAGATTTGGGGTCAGCTTTGGAAGCCTTTTTCCAAGGGAGTAGATTCTTCTTGAATATTACCGTCCCATGAGGATGAGAGAAGTTCAGTTCTTTTGTTATTATGTGTAATTGATTAATTATGTTACCTCTTATTTTCATGACCATGTCGTTTGTCATGTGTGCACAGGTAAATACAGTTGTAATGAGGGGTCTCAATGACGACGAGATCCTAGATTTTGTTGAGTTGACGCGGGATAAACCTATCAATGTTCGATTTATAGAATTCATGCCTTTTGATGGCAATGTCTGGAATTCGAAAAAGCTGGTTTCGTACATGGAGATGATGGATATGATTGTAAGCATTTAATACTTTTTCGGCATTTGGCTAGTATTTTTGGCTCATTCTGAATTAATTTCTACGAACTATCCAGTGCAGGTCAGATGTACTTTCATTATTCTTAGTTTTGCTGTAGTGGCTTACAGATAGACAAATGCAAATGATTTTGTTTCATCACGGATTGTGATTAAGTCTTGACACTACAGTCGGCATTGTTTGGATATTTGACACTGACTTGGAGACTATTTTGCAGAAGAAAAAATTTCCAAGTATACACAGACTGGAAGACCATCCTACCGACACAGCTAAAAATTTCCAGGTTGAGGGTTTCCAAGGCACAGTGTCGTTCATCACCTCGATGACCCAACATTTCTGTTCGGGTTGCAACCGGTTACGGCTTATGGCTGACGGCAACCTCAAAGTATGCCTTTTCGGTCCAGCAGAGGTGAGCCTTGAGCCTAGACCTACACTTACAGCTGTCAGTTTCATCGTTTTCATGAAATGTGCGAGCAGTTATTTTGAATAAGTGTAGGAAGTAACAATCACCACCCTGACATTGTATTCTATTAAGATTGTGAAATTGTTTCATTTATCAAATATCTTCTCTGAGATCATGCTCGCTGAATTATTTCTATTGCAGAAATATTCATCTCTGTTTAGAACCGCTTCGATGTCATGGCTGCAGTTTGCGGCATCATAGTACTACCCACTATTGTAGAATGCAAGGGTGTAGTTGAGTTGTTCATTTCGAGACCAAACTTTGATGGATTCGACCTGGATCATGTAAAGACTTAACATGTAATATATTGGTGTGTCTTCAGGTTAGTTTACGCGATGCCATTCGCAGTGGCATGCAGGAATTGGACTTGCAGCAGGTCATCAGTGATGCAGTAAGTGGATATGCCTTTTGTCCCGGTACAATTTGCGTAATTTTATTGCATTGTACTTTTGATGATATTTTGGAATTTAGCACAATTATTTCGTCAACACTACTGAAAAATTTGGGTCGAGACGTTGAGATGTTGAGACACCTGCATAACCAAGCAGATCTTTTGATTGGCAGGTGAAGCGAAAGAAGGCCGCACATGCTGGCATGTTTGAGTTAGCACGGACACAGAATAGGCCAATGGTTCACATTGGTGGGTGATACGGAAGTGCATCTACTCCAAGGTTAGAACCATCGATCCAGTCAGAGATTTATTGCAGATTGTAGTTTCTTTGTTTGGATTTCGTGTACGTCATAAATATTACAAACTTATGCACTCTGTTCCGTATTTTCGGAGTTTTAATGCTCGTACCTATTTTGTGGATAACCAGTGGGAAGGGGGTGAAGGAAACAGGTTTCTTTGTCCTCCAAAGATCAAATCTACTATTCAGGCAGCATAAGCTGCGGAAATTTGAACACGTTTGTTTCATTTTCTTGGTTGTCCACTTGAATTTTGGTGTGTCCTATGCGTATTGTATGTAAGAGTACAGTTTCCGGTAATTCTTATGTTTTGCTGGTGTGTTGCAGATTCTCGGCATCGTGCTGCCACTATGTACATTACTAGCAAGTTTGTTGCTCTCCTACTTAGGCATCCCTACTTTCTATTTTCAGCGGTTGAAAGTTGTTGGGTGAATTTGTGAAATACTGAGACCAACAATCAGTCCACATGGTGTCGAGCAGCATGTAACTTATTAGTTAGTGCGTTGTTTTGGTATAACTAAACTGGATTACTCAAAAAGTTTTAGTGTCCGTGCATGCTAGTTGTGTGCGGCCAGTTTTGTGGCCAGTTAATAGCTAAACTGGCATTGACTGAGTATGCACTTCGCAAAGAAAATTGTACCTGACCTCATTTGTAGAATCAGAAGGTTTTCTCGTACACTCAAGACTTTAGTTAGAGAAAAAGCCTGCAAGAGGCGTACCATCTACACTTGTGCCTCAAAACCACATTCACGTGATCACAAGTATTGTCATGAATATACTGCTAATTAGGCTAACAGCAGGGGTTAATACTTCTGATGTAGATTCCAGGAATGATCAAGCCAAATGAGTGTTATCACTTTCCACAGCACTTCGTTTTTATACCATCTCTTCTATAAAGATGGTGAACAAAAGCATGCTTATTGATATTTCACGATGATGGTTGTGAATCAATGCATTTGTTGATGATGTGTTGTTTCAACATAGTAAAGATGTCTTATATCATTGCTTGAAAGTTTATTTGTGCATGCCTTAATTTACTGAAAATACGTTTAAGATATCATGGTTCATTTTTGAATGTAAAATTAATATCAAAATGTTTCATACATTTATTAAGGTCAATTTTGTAAATCTGTGTGTATTGTTCAATAGTTGTAATTGGTGTGAAAAAAAAGTTATGACATTTATGGCTTTGATGGTGCTTTCATTTGTAAAACTTATTTTTCTAAGAATATCCTTAGAATTCTTTTTGTGCAAATTTGACTTCAATGTAAGTAAATCATCTAAGTAATTTAGTACATCTTAATTTGAACCAATGAACTCCAATGTAAAATATCCAGATGTTTTTATTGATCTTTGTATATGTTCACAAATTTTTAATTTTTTTAATGAGAGTTTATATAACAACTTAAGATTTTAAATTAAAAGTAGAAAACAAGGGTTTGAAGTTAGCATATTCTTCATTGCATATTAATTTTTGTTTTTACCTTATGTATAATTTCTAAAAGAACATTTTAATTGACCTTCAAACTTTTTAATTTGATTTTAATTTGATTTATTTGGTTTTTATTTTTTTGTTGATTATTATATTATTATCATTTTTTCTAAATACAAAATCAAGTATATTCAATGCTCTAGATTGATTAAAAAAGAAAAAAAAAACATGTTGGATACTTACAATTTCAAATAATAAGAAAGTCTATTTTATAAAACACATTTAGAGAATAAATTAATTTTGTTCAATAGAAGTCAATAACTTCATGGATTATTGGACCACATTGTAGAACTTTTAAGTACCTTCTAGTTATGTCTACTTTCTTCTCTAATATTTTCTTGATTATTTAAATCTACTTTTAATTTTTAAAAAGTAAATTATCATTAAATTATTCTAAACATAGTTTAGAATGTGTAGCTTGGTGAGCAATCCAATCCAACTACCTTGCCTTGGTGAGGTTAATCAAACAAAAATTGGGCTTTCTAATCTCTATTTAGAAATTTAACCTTTAATTGGGTGCTATTGGTGGAAATTGTCTATTATTATATTTTTATAAGTTTTATTTTATATATTAATAAAAATATAAACATAATTTTTTATGATTATGATTACTAAAATATTAATTAAATATTATTAAAAAAGATTTTTTTTTTTAATAATATTTTAATTTTAATGTAATGAATTAGAAATAGTTTTATATAACCAAATATAAATGATCACATATATTTATTAATAATTTTTAATAAATATTATTAATTTTGTATTATAATCAATCAATAGACATTGAAAAAATAATAACAAGAAATACAATATATGTGAAAGTAAACTAATGCTTGTTAATAAATTAAAATAATATTTTAAACTAAGTTTTAAATTTAAATAAAAATTAAACTATAGGTATAAACTTAAGCTAAAATATTTTCTTAAAAAAAAGATAAATTATATGATAAATTAATAAAAATAATAAATTATAGTAAATTATTAAAATTAAGAATTTTTTATTTTATTTTCATATATAATTAAATATATATAAAATAATTTCAAAAAATTAAAAATAAATCTGAAAATATTATATATTTTAAGATTTTTAATATTTTTATAATAATGAGTGGTAGGTTTAAATAAATTTTAAGTAATATAAAATGTATAACTATAAAAAAGAAAAAAATATAATAATAAATATATAAATATGTTGTAAAACAAAAAAATGTCATGTAAAATAATTAATAGATATTTTATAAAATGATCTTGCATAGTAATATATATATATATATATATATATATATATATATGTGTGTGTGTGTGTGTGTGTGTGTATCTATATATATATATATATATATATATATGTATATTCTAGTATTAAATTTAGAAATTAATATAAATCATACAAAATTTATAAAAAATATATTATAGAATATAAAAAATTAAATTAAAAATAAATAATTTTCGATATTTATGTTTTTAGATGTAATTTAGTAACAAATATTTATATTATTTATGTAAATAGAAATAAATAAAGTTAAATAGAAAAAAATTAAATAAATAACATCTTCTTTAAAATGTTTAATTTTTTTTATTGATTACATATTTAGACTTTTATAAATATACCATGTGGATATTGGAATTTTTTCTACAAATTTTATAATTTTAGAAAGTTGCATTAGTAGCACCCTACAACTTGATGCTAAAGCCACAAGTCTTGCAATTCCTAGTAAACTTCCACAAGACGTTTTTTGTAGCCAATACATATAAATGCAAGATTAAGACCATTCTCACTTTTTTTAATACCTTTCTTTTATTTTAGTTTTAATTCAAGGCTCTCTAAGTTCTCTGAAACTAAAAATAATTATTTTAGTTTATTATGTTTATTTTTTATTTCTTATTTGTCTACTTTCTCTCTTTTAGTCATAGAAGAGTGTATTGTCTTTTGAAAGTATTGTCCAATTTATGTCTTCAACAAATTTTATGTTTTTTATTATATATATATATATATATATATATATATATATACATAAAATATTTAATGAATGTATTTAAAGTATCCATCACAATTTGAAAAAATATATTTGGACATATGCAGTTAGTAGTATCGATAATTACTTTCAATAATATTACACAATTGTGTTATTACACCGCTTTTTACACCACAAGCTCTATTTCACGTAGACACCCCTTACGCCCTTCCTGTGACCAGTGGGCTTTCTCCGTTTTGCTTCATTTTAGTTTAGCAGAAAGATTTGCTATACGTGTAAATTCCCATATGATTGTGTGCCTCAGTGTCGGTGGAGTGTCGGTAGATGGGGCTGTCGACTGAGTCTGACATATCAAAGCTGTCTTTCTTTGTTCGCATAAATCTTCCGATGCACGAATTCTTACTAAGTTTGGAGTCTACTTCGTTGCAGACACACGCTGCTCCCCGTTGAGTCATCTAATGTAGTGCTATTCGTCAAGCTCGATGTATTTTTCTGTGACCATGACTCGATCATTCTGTTTGTATCACAGAGATCATTCGGTTATGGCATAGTTTCGATTGCCCGGAGCTAATTAGAACGGACTCGTTACGCCATTTCAGTTCGGTGTGTAAGTTTTGATCAGGGACGTAGGTTTCTACATCTTTTGAAGATCGAAGTAAGATCGTTTAGAAGCATTGTCGGCGTTCGTTACATTGTAGAATGATAAAGATTTATGTGGTAAACTACGCAGATAACTTACTGATCTTTAAGAAGCAGCTGGTTGCTAAACATTCGCGCGAGAGAAAAATCTGCCGTTTGCCGTAGGCTATAGGATGCCGAGCCCATTTTGCCAGAGCTGTTGCCTCTGAGAATACGTACAAGGATACTGGTACAAGCATTTTGCCCGAGACTAGCAATATCTGCACGACTTTATTATTCCGTCATCTCTTCCTGGTGACCCAGCATCACCGTAGCAGAAAGATTCAAAGTGAAACACTCTAGAAGCTCAGAATTCCAAATTCTTAATTACATGCAGTTTATGTGTCCTCTTATCGGTACCCTGATAATAACAGAGTCGTGAAAAGTATGCTCTAATACATTGTTTGAACACGCTAGCCTCGGATAGAAGAATCTAAGGACAAGTTTTACAGTGCATATATGTCCCGATCGGAGGTGATCCTTGCGCAACTGAAGTACTAGATACGCTCTAGAGAACATTATGAGAGCTGTCGGTAAACTCAGCTTGCGTGACTCTTCTTGGGAGTTGGTTCAGCTCTAGTTAAACCACACCCAAGCTTAGAAGTCGACTGCTCTTCATGACCTACCTAGATAGTATTGCAGGCCCAATTGCAAAATCCGAACCAAAGTGGTATCTTAGAGCTCCTGATGACCCTTTGACAGTTTCGCTTTCAATGCATTCAGGGCATTCGCTGCTCCGCACTCGGGGTATTTCTGTGTTAAAACTGCACATACAAACAAGGATGATGCGTAGCTGTTAATAGTGCAAACAAGCCCATGTATTAAATTTTCGTCTACGAGAATCCCTCGTGCACCATTCAGATCCGATAAGGCTTATGACTTGAGTTGAAACAAGGATCTTCAAATGTCAGCTAACGTTAAGCTAATTGATCATAAATAATTTAATCAATAAATTATAACTTCAACCAACTTTGAGACCCTACCTCAACAAAAGTTAGCAATGCTAAATCTACATTACGGGGTGCACCATGTGCAAATTGTGTCTGATGGATCTTGTCTCGTTTTCATCAAAATATCCTCGCGAAACAATCTTTGACGATCTCAGATTCTACCCCTTCGAAATTGAGTATGATGTTTTGTAGCTCACAGCAATCAATATCGATTACATATTCACATCATCGTGGCTGATATGGAGTCCCATACTACCATTCTGATCTCGAAATGGGAGCACAAACATACGAGCCGTAACGCAGACCCTCGCATAACGATTCAAATCTCAAAGGTGACCCTGAGATGTATGAGAAGAATCATATGATATTTTATATGGATAAAGCAGTAAAGGATGAAACTATTCGATAAGGCTGAGAAAAAAGATGGCGTGCAGGCTCAGGTACGTACCTGAGTAGAGAAGGCACAGAGCCACGAGGACGATGATGGCTGCAACGAAGGTAATAAAGCGCCTTGGATCATGGCGCACCTTCTTCCCTGTTTCCAACGTTGCAGTGCCGCTGGCCTTGATCGTACTTGCGCCCTTCTGCACGTAGAGATGGTTCACAACACTCTGATGGGCCTGGCCGGCTCTTTGACGCAGCAAATTCACAACAGGGTGGTTGGCGACAGTCTCTGCATGCTTCATTACGGAGGGATGAACTTTATCAAGCAGCTGGTTCCATTTCTCTGACGGCGACGCCGGTGTGGTGTCAACAGCAGCAGCATATTCATGCGACTCAGACGCCAAATAACTGGGGGGGATTGGAGTTGATTCCTCAATTTTTTTGCTTTCTGCTTCGTCATCGATGCTAGAACTGCTGCCGTCGTCTGCTGAAGGTTGAACTTCAGTATCCTGAGTCTCAGCAGGTGGGGGCGTATCAGCTGGTTCGAACCCCATCGGTTGTTCAAACGATTGTGAGACCTGCTCCACAGCGAGAGGCGCATCACTTGGTTCTTCAACCACATCAGCCATCTTACTTGCCTGCTGTCACTTTGCAACAGCAATCGTACTTCAGATGGAAAACTTTTCGTAGGCAGAGTTGCTCAACTTCTGACTAATCCGCTTCACTGTGAAATTTCAAGACAGGCCAAGGTGATTGCAACGGACATATCGTTCTGCGCTATTACAGTTACGATGTCTAGTGCCTGCCTACACAACAATTGTTAAGGATATTGTCCATGAACTCGGATATTTCCGGTCAGTATATAGAATGGGAGTACTGCAATCTTGAAGTTGAAGCTTAAGATTCAAGTGGTAAGCGCTTTGAAGAGTACCACAATGAATGTCGTGGCAGGGTGCGAAAGGTCGAGGAACATGGAGGCTGCTGCCGATGGGAAAACCTGCACCAAGTGGCCACAAAGACCGGGACTCTAAACTGTTGCGTCACCTTGGTGCAAGCGCCCTCTTAATATTCTGAAATTGTACAGTACGTGCTGTTTCACGAACCTTCCAGTTACTCGCAGCCGGATTATAATGTATAGCGTAATACTCATGATCTGCACTTGCGCCCACGTTCATTTTCATTAGAGATTAGATTGTTCTTGTGAGTTTGGAATTCAGACGTTGATTCTAGTAGCAGTAAAATATCTTCAAAAATCAATAAGTGAGACGGAATTCAGGAGATAGCCTGTGTAGTCAAAGTTCTTCTAGATGACGAAGCTGAGCCTTGCGTCGATGCACGTAGGTACTCCTCGCCATGAGCTTTTTAGGTACCCTAGGCGCTTTGGGACCCGGTCAAGAGGATCACAATTTCCAGCTCGAAGTGCGTAGCTCTCATTTTCGCAACAATTCCCGATCGTAGAAAATGTGATGTTTTTTTCCCAGGGTAAATGGACACATACGCGCAAATTTCAGAGTCGAAGAAAGTTCTAATTTCTACTGGATACTCAATAGATACATCTTTACTTCAAGATAACTAAATTATACGCAAAGCTCTACATATTTCAGTATGTTACACAGAATTGCAACAGTTTCAATTGCTTTTTGAGGCGGTAATAGCTCCCACAAACGGGCCACTTCTGCTTGACTTCCTCCCCCCCGCTCTCCTCCGTCCTCCCCAAGTTTGACTTGCCACCCTGACGAGTGTTTTTAGCCGGGAGGAAAGTGCATCAAAACTGCATCTTCGGCCCCACATTACAGGCTCTGGACAATCAGGTCTACAACAGATTGCAATTCTGTTAGAGACAGACTTGTCAGGAACTTTGTGGACGCTAACCTCATTTAGCTAGTTGAGCAGTGCACCTCACTCTCGCTGTAATCAGTTTGAAACTTTCCCATTTCGGCCACATTGATCGAATTTCGCGAAAGATAATCCGCTGCACAGAGTTCTGAGAAACTGATACGCATGTCGCAGGGACACCTTTGGACGCGTACATGCTGCTTGACAAACACCGACGAGATCCAATGCTCCCATCGGAGCTTGAGCGGGACGCCTGGGAAGCTTCACCTTGAAACCAGCATTAATAATTTCGGAACCCGGCGACCAGGTCTCACGTAATCTCGTGGTTCAGAGCATGATGGTTCTTCGCTACAGCGAAAGCACCGTCCGGCGAGACTAGGCTCTGCTGTGTGGACCTCCCACGCTCCATCCCACCGATCAGATCCAAGTATTGCAAGCAAAGAAAAGACGGTAGCTGGCTGGCTGATCTGGGTCCGGACTCCTTGTCCTCCGAGATCGAATCGTCCGTATCAAGCAAGACCGACCACATCACCTTTCAGTGTCGATGACGAGCACCATACGGTCTTATCTCACCAGATTCACACTCTCTGGGCCGATCGACAGCTTCTCACTCTGTGATCGAACACTAGCTCCCTGTGAACGCCACAGGTCAGAAGAATCCACACAGATTCTGATACCCATCTGTGGATTCAGTAGCCATCAACATATTGACATCTCTCGTCATGGATGACATATCATCCACGTAGTCATCCATAGAGAATAAAACTCTCTTGATTGGTTTAGAAATTGGCATACCATGATTACATTAGCACCCTTGCACTAGTTGGAAAGACATCTCTTCCATGTTGTAATGTTACTTCAATATTATTATCAATACATGCATCAACATATGGCTGATTGTAACATGGTATTAGAACGTCTTTAGGTTCTTTTCCCTTTATTAGTCCTCCAATCTTCTTGACCTAAGGATTTAGAGTTTAGGTCTTAGAGTCTCCATTTCCTTAACCTTTTTGCCTTCATTATAGAATCTATTCTCATTAACAGGGATGTACTTGAAAATTGAAAGTTGCAAGGAGCCTCCAACTGTACCATCTAGTTCTACAAGCTCAAGACACTCTTATAAGAGAAGAAGTTGTGGTGCATTGTCAATTCTACCATTGCATTTACATTTAGATATTCAAGAGTGAGAGGAATTATAGTTGAATCTTTTTGGATTAGAAACGTGGTCAACAAGTTGGCCATGTACCACATATGTTGTTAGCTTGAAGACCAAGCTAATTATGTGGCCCACATGTAGAAAAACTTACCTTGTAAGTCAAGGCATGTATCCTACAAAGTCAACACATATTGGAGGTCCTATAGAACGTCGCCACATAGCCCCTAGTTAGATAGTATGTATAGAGACAAGGGTGAAGCCTTCTTCACTCTTGTCAACTCCATTCTTGCTTCCAGTCTAGTTTCAAGGATCTCTAGTTTTCTTGTATTTTGGCAATAGCCATTCTAGTTTTTTTTATAATATACATATCAAGTTATTTCTATTTTGTCATCTTTCTTTGAAAGAAGTCTCACTTGTTTATTTTTCTTTATTATGTTCTTGTCCTTGACAGATTGACAAGAGTACACCTACAATATCAAAGCTTTGTCTAATCTTAATTAAGAGTGGATTATCCCTTTTTTTTTTATAAGACATAAGCATATTAGAAGTTGCCCTCTTCTAAACTGATATTGTCCTTAATATTTTCTTTGTTCTGAAGTCCTCTCTTCTATTTGTCTTGAGCGATATTAGAATTCTTCTCTTTTCTAAGTGTTATCATGGCAAAACTTGCTGAAATAAAGAGTACAATAACACAAATATAAGAACAATTGAGAGAGTTAATGCTTGCGATGCATCAACTCAATTTACCACTACAAAGAGCAACAAGATTGGCAGGAAGTGAAAATATAGAAATGATTGGAGCTGCTTCAACATTTGCTCTAAATCATGTCCCTTCTTTTATGGTGGAACGTCCTTCTAGTGTTAGAGAACCAAAAATTGTCCTACATGAGAAGTTTGATAACACCAAATCCAAGTTTTGAGGATTTATCAATCAAGTGCAACTTGTGATTGAACTTCAACCCCAAAGCTATGCAACTCTAGGATCACAAGTTAGATTCATTGGTACACTTCTTTCAAGTTCAGCACTATCGTGGTTTTCATCTTTTCTTGAATGATGAGATTCAATATTGCATAATCTAGAGATTTTTTTGGTGGAGTTTCTATCCATGTATGAAGAACATGATGCAATTCATTTTGTAACCAATAAGATCCATATTTTACGACAAGGCAATCGATCAATAACGTTGTATGCTTTAGAATTTTGACAACTTGCAACTGATATCAAGTGGGATGATGCTGCATTTATTAACCAATTTCTCTATGGATTACAATATGAGGTAAAAAAAATTAATGCTCAACTTACCTGATCCTCAAACATTGAATCAAGCAATTGACTTTGCTGTGAAGTGCGACAATCACCTTTTTGAATTCCGATCTGAAAACCGTATAAGTGGACCTCAACGTAACTATAATTCAATAGCAACACCAACATCTCTTGAATACAAACATTCGGAAGTAGAGGATATATAAATTGATGTAGTACGTTTCAAACCTCTTATTAAACAAGAAAAGACTTGTCATCGTCAAGAAGGATTATGTTTATATTGTGGAGAATCAAAACACACTGCTCAACATTGTCCAAAGAAACGATGTAACCACAAAATGAAGAATATGGCTATCAAAGAAGACAATATGTCAGAAAATGAGTTGTCTAGCTACAATAGGAACTGTGCGGCTCGAACCTTGCACAACATCTTGTAAAGGTCCTATTCTCTCCTCAGAATCTTCTCCTTATTTTACATTAAATATAATTTTAGGACCTAAACATTACAAAGCCTATGCCTTGTTAGATTTAGGAGCCTCAATATGTTTTTTAGATGAAGAATTTACTAAAAGACATAGCATATCTTTAATAAAGAAAACTAAACTTGTTCATGTAAAAGTCGTAGAGGGTCGTTCATTATCTTCTAGAGATATTATTCACAAAACCCTTCCTATAGTAGTAATAAATGGTTATAATAGTTTTGTAGTATTTAATATCATTAAATCTCCGTCTAATCTAGTCATTTTAGGTTTATCATGGTTAAAAAAATATAACCCTCAAATAGATTGGATTTCTTGAACTCTTACTTTCTATAAAAATATAACTACTAGTGTAGTTAATCAAGTAGAGAGTCATAAGTCTAGTTCAATTAAATCTATGTTTATAGGTGCAAAAGCTTTCTTGCATGCTGCTATGAAAAAATCACCATATATTATTTATGCCACACCTGTTCTTACTGGTGAAAAGACTTCAAGTGGCATTCCAAGCCAATATCAAGAATTTCAAGATGTATTTGAAAAAAAGAATGCGAATATACTCTCAAAACATCGTCCCTATGATTGCTCAATAGATCTTCAAGAAGGAGCACAACCGCCATTTGGACCAATCTACAGTTTATTATAAAATGAGTTGACTGAATTCAAAGAGTATATTGAAGAAAATCTAGCCAAGAATTTCATACGCCATTCTAAATCTTCGGCAGGAGTTCCAATTCTATTTGTGAAGAAAAAAGATGAATCATTGCAGATGTGTGTTGATTATCGAGGACTCAACAAGCTTACCATCAAGAACGGGTATCTACTACCTTTAATATGTGGACTTCTTGATCAGCTGAATCAAGCTAAGATCTATACAAAAATAGATCTCCGGAGAGCATACAATTTAGTACGCATGAAAGAAGGAGATGAATGGAAGATTACGTTTCGAACTAGGTATGGACATTTTGAATACAACGTCATGCCTTTTGGACTTATAAATGCAGTAACAACTTTTCAACATTTAATGAATGATGGTTTTTGAGAGTATTTGGACGATTTTGTGGTCTATTATCTAAACAACATGTTGATCTATTCTAAGAATCTAGAAGAACATGAACTTCATGTTCGTCATGTCTTACAAAAATTAAGAGATGCGAGACTCTATGCCAAGATAGAAAAGTGTGTATTCCACACTATTCAAGTCAATTTCTTAGGTTACATCATTTCAAATGATGGAGTGATGATGGATCTTAAGAAAGTTCAAACTATTATAGATTAGAAGATCTCAAAAATGGTAAGAGATGTTCAATACTATTTGAGATTTATCAACTACTATCGGATCTTCATCAAAGACTTTTCTGATATTACAGCTCTACTCACACATTTGACTTGTAAAGACAAACTCCAATGGAATCAAGAAGCGGAAGTTGCTTTTGAATCTTTGAAGACAGCATTTATTTTTACACCAATCTTATATCGTGTTGATTTTTTCAAAGCGTTCTTTATAGAAACAAATGCATCAGACTTTGCGATGGATGCAGTTTTGTTACAAATGGAAACAGATGACAAACTTCATCCAATAGCCTTTCATTCAAGAAAATTCTCAGTAGTAGAAATCAATTATGAGATCTACGACAAAAAACTTCTTGTAATTGTGGATTCTTTTCAAGAATGGCATCATTATCTAGAAGGCGCTTCTAGTCTAGTCACTATGTATACGGATCACAAGAACCTCAAGTATTTCATGTCAACACGCGTATTAAATTGTCGTCAAGCTTGTTAGAGCATGTCTTTATCAAGATTCGAGTTCATCATCACTTATCGGATAGAAAAATAATAAGGATTGTCTGATGCCTTGTTTAGACGTTCTTATCTTGCACCAAAAGAAGGAGATGTAACTTTTGAGCAACAAAGAATGGTTCTCTTGAAGTTGGAGCAATTTCATCTTTGAGCAATAAAATCAACATTGACTGTTGATTTAACTTTTTACAAGCAAGTCTAGTTAAGTATGTCTTCAGTCCCTCTTGTTCATGATATTAAGAATAATTCTTCTAAATCTCATAATCCCTCTAAATTCGAGTTCAAGAATAACCTACTCTATTTCAAAGGATGCCTATATGTTCCAGAAGGTGAAGCATATTTACGTGTTCTTCAAGCTCGTTATGACTTTCCAGCAGTAGAACATTTTGGATAGAATAGGACTTTGGAGCTGATATCTAGGGATTTTTGGTGGCGTCCAATGTGGAAGGCAGTCAAAGATTTTGTACAATCATGTGATGTTTGCTCAAGATCAAAAACTCCTCGTCATTGATCTTTTGGACTTCTTCAGCCATTACCCATTCCAGAACAACCATGGTCTTTTGT